CATATGTGGGATCCGAACCGGGGCCCTCTGGCATCCCAAGCCAGCTCTTAACCAACGCGCCACTCGCCGGCCCCTCAGTTTCCCTTTCTACTAGGTTGTTCTTATCAGTGTACAATCCCATTTTTATTTTTTGAAAACTTTATTGGAGAACAGTGTGTTTTGTCCAAGACCCATCAGCTGCAAGTCAAGTTGTTTTCAATCTAGTTGTGGAGGGCACAGCTCAGTGGCCCATGTGGGAATCGAACCTGCAACCTTGGTGTTGAGTCTGTGCTCTAACCAACTGAGCTAACTGGCCGCACCCTAGAATCCCATTTTTAAAACCCCGCTCTGGACTCTATATGTCTTACCGAGTGTGCCCCCAAATCTGTGCTCCCTCTATAGCAAAAGCCATTAGAAATATTGTCAATTCTCAGTGTTTCACACCCTTACTGTTCATTCTTTCTTTAATTGATCCACTTAGGCTTTTGTTCAAACATTCCATTAAAATTCCTTTTGTTAAGGTCATCAGGGACTTCTCACGGCCAAAGGCCATGGTTTGTCCTGAGCCTTCAGCTTACTAGACCTCTTAGGAACTCATGGCAAGTGTTTTCCCTCCCCCCCCCCACCCCCCGTCTTGAAATCTTTATTTTCCCCCCATTTGGCTTATAGACTTGACAATTCCATGGTTTTCCTTTAAATTCTCACAGCTGTTCCTCCTCTCTCTGACCGCTAACCTTTGAAGCGTTCCAGGCAATTCCTTATTTCACTAATAGATGGAACTGAATAGGACTATTAAGCTCTTAGGCTTAAATACACAAATAGTCACACAGGATTATAGACACATAATAGTTCATTTTGATAAAATTGAAGGAAAAAAATCAGCCAATCTAATATAAACTTTATTTGGTATGTATAAAAATTTGGTTTGTTAGGCAGTGGAAATACAGATGTGTAGGTCAAGTTCACTCCTTTTTCTCCTAAGCCTGCATATACTAAGCAATCCATGTGTGCCAGGCACTGCACTAAGCACTTTTGTACATTATCTCATTTAATTTCCACAACTATTTGAGGCTAGTAATATCCCTACATCTATTTTAAAGATGAGGAAACAGGTTGAGAAATATTATATAACCATCTTTGGTTTCAGACCTTGTAAGGGGCTGAAGTGGGTTTTGAATTTACTCTGGCTCTATACATCATCTGAGTCAGTCTTCAACCATTTTTGACCTGAAAAAGTGGCAATTCCACGTGGTTCAACCAAATATTAATTTATTCCTTTGGAATGAGGGAAACGTGCAGGTTGGAGATGTACCAGGAATACGCTATGTAAAGTATAAATTGGGGGAAATAGCCAAACACCATCATGTGGTGGCTTTTCATAGTGAATAGAATTTGACTCAAGTACAAGTAATTGGATTCACAAGTAATTAGTTTTTCTATTAATTACCCAAAGTATTGAAGGAACTAGGTTACAACACCTGGCTGTTGTGTTTAAAAATGATGCCTCTCAGGCCGGCTGAGTGGCACATTGGTTAAGAGCTGGCTTGGGACGCCAGAGGACCCCAGTTCGGATCCCACATATGAGGGCCAATGACACTGCCCTCTACAGCCAAGATGCTGAACAACAGCTCAACCTGGAGCTGGGCTGCCATGAGTCGACGGTGGACGGTGACTGCATAGGCTGCAGCCCTGGCTGCAGTGGGTTGCCATAGGCTACCGTGTGTAGCCAGCAGGCTACCGTGTGTGAGCGGCTGTCCAGAAGCCAGCGACTGATCTGCCTCGCCAGGAAGAGCGCAATGATGGTACCAACTTGGGCCAGTGAAGCAACGTCCTCCACAACTAGACTGAAGAACAAAAGGACAGCAACTTGTCTGTTCCCATTCCCCCAATTCCCCAATAAAAATCTTTAAAAAAAAAAAAAAAGAAAGAAAGAAAGGGAAACTGATCAGGAGGAAGAGAGGGGACAACTGCAGGACCACAGCCCTCACGTGGAGCAGAAGTGATACAATTCGTGTAGGAGTGGTGACATTGGCCTTAAACCAGAGCAAGGCTGTTCCTTTAGGTAACAGAGAGAAGGCAGAGTATTGGGTATAAAGGCAGGAAATTTGCTGAATTTGCCAATGAAAGCTGTAGTAATTATCTTCTGATTTTTTTTCTATTTTCTTAGTGAAGTAGGACTCAAAGTAATCAGCTGAGAATGAGAAGAGAAGAGGGACTGAAGACAGAGAAAGTGGGACTGGCTTCCTAGGGACTCTGAGAGGGGATGGACTGGGAAAGGTAGGAAAATGGCCAGGCTGTGCTGAAGGTCCACTTGAGATGTGTGGTTCTACCTAAATGCCAAGCGAACAAGTCCGTACAATGTTGTGTTTTTCCTCAGCCATGTTTAGCTGCTCAGATATGGGCATGGTGTAGACCAAGGGTGGGGTTAACTAAAGTTGAAGGTTTGCTTGGCCAGTCTGACAGGGAGAGTAAATGGCAAGGTGTGTGTGAAGGCGTGTTTCTGGTTATGCACCATGGGTGATCTGAACTAAGTAAAGAGAGAAAAGAGGTCATGGGTTTGCTAAATGGTGAAGTAGAGAAGGAGTCAATGGTGATCCCAGCGTGGGAAGAAGGTGAGGGCATTTAAAAGTGAGCTGGGAAGATAGAGGTTGTTAGAAAACGGGCTGTGTGACATTAAAATTTTGGAGTCTGTATACAGAGGGTGCCAAAAAATGTATACACATTTTAAGAAAGGAAAAAACCGTATTAGTTACAATACTCAATATATACCAATAACAAAAGATGAATACAAGTCACGTTTGACTTCTGCAATCACAAGAGATGCACAAAGTGATTACCATCAGCGTCCAGACACTTCTGATGACGGCGAACTACTGCTTGAGCATAGATAACAACTCTTAAAATGTGTATACTTTTTTTGGCACCCCCGGTAGATACTATGAGGACAAGGTCAAGAGTTTGAATGTGAAGTGGGAAGCTGAAGTCAAGTGGAGGCCACGATTGTGGAAGTGGGAACTTCAGTGAGAGGCCAGGGTGGATGAGTTATCTGTGTGGAGATTGACAGCTCCAAGAGTGGTGAGAGGACTGATGGTGGAGAGGGAGGCATGTGCTTCAATCATCATGAACGAAGTGGGTAGAGCAAGGTTGTTAGTCAATTCAAAGAACGAAGGGGGTTGGGTGGCCCAGGCTGCTGTGTTTGGAGAGAGTGGGGGTTTGGAGAGGAGAGAGAGGAAAAGTCAGAAGTATTTCTGTGTGGTTGCAAAGCACAGTGGACATGAGCCTTGTTCTGAGCCCGGGGGCACTGTGGGTATTGGTGGCCAGGGGCTGGATATGGCGGGGAGGTGAGGGCACAACCACCACGTGAGAGCGGTGGTCTGAGACAGAGCATTTTCAGAGAAGATTGGAAATGAAGGGTTTTAAATTGATGACAGAACTTTGCAATGCCAGCACTTACTGCATTCCATTTGGAAATGCCATTTCCAATGGCATAAGCTATACAGATACAAGGGTGACGATAAAGGTTGGAGAAACAGAGCAGGCTCCATAGCGGTGCTTTGACTTATGTGCCACCACCCACTCCCAACCACTTAAAGGGTTTGGAGAGACTTCCCTTATTATGCGCAATACATTCAAATAATAACAGCTCACTCCACAGAGAACATTCTGGACCACCAAGCAAGAGTGACTCAAGTGAGGAGCCAGGGTCCAAGGCAGGCCAGGTAGGGTTACCTTAGGATGTGTGACAAGAAACAGCATAGCCTCCTGAGGTGACTTGGCACCAATAAGGCTGCCACAAGAACCTGGGAAAAGAGAAATCAGAGCCATCTCCTCCCACGCACGCCTAGGAGTAGGGCGGCTATGTACATGTTGCAGAGATGATGTTTTTCTTTGACTTGCCCATGTTCTGAGTGAGACCTTTGGCCCAGTTTTAAGAGCCAACTGAACCTGGATAAGCAGGGGTGGGGCTTTCCGGAGGCAGGAGTCTCAGGGCTCTATAAAGCCTTACTGGGCACCGCTGGGTATCTCTCCCACGGACAATCTGGCTTGCTGCTCGCTCCACTGAAAATGCAGCGGCTGTTAAGTTCCGCAAAGCAGGTCTTGCAAGTGAAGAGGCTGATGCAGGAAGCATCTCGCATGCCGGGTCGCCTTCTCCCAGCAGCCCACCAAAGGTGAGTCCCGTTGCTCCTAGGAACTGTACGGGCCACTCTTAGAGAAGCATCATGGAACTAGTAAAAGATAGGCAGAGTGCCTGCAGTAAGGAAAAGCCCCCTGGGACCCCAGTCAGATGTTGTCAGGGGTGTGTGCACAGCCTGGGAGAAGCAAATTAACCTCTGGGTCTCAGTCACATCATCTCTAAATGGACAGGCCTTCTCAGCTATAGAGTTCCAGGATCCCAAACCTCTGATGCCTGCTGTTTGGAAAGGAGGACATCCTTCACTCCCTCAGCTGTGGAAGCAGTGGAAATATCAGTATCAGGGCCCACGGCATTCTCCCCCACCCCATTGTTCCCACCTTTACCCCTACCCTTGCCAAGGCCTTCTGGATTCTGTGCCTGTGGCAGTGTTGGTAAAACCAGCTGCCTCAACTCACTGCAGCAACACTCGGACTGAGGATAAGAAGCATGTCCTCTGCCCTCTGCTTTCTTAAAATGGGGAAATGAGACACGTGAGTGCACACGCGCACGTGCAATCAGCTTGTGCACAGACGCACACGTGCACTCCTTTTCTTTGTAAACATTCCCCCGGTCTGGCCCCAAGGGCTTGCAGCCTCCCAGCATGGATGGGAACACAACATAGCTAGTGCCCCCTTCAGCCCCAAACCACCCACTGTTTTCTAGGATTCTAGGACTAGCTCTTTCCTCCCATTTCTTCTACACTGCATTCCATGAATACTTAGAAAATTGATTGACCTGGTGTCTTCCCTTGCCGGGTATCCAGGGAACCTGGGTGTATGGATGTGTGGGGTAGGAGGTGATACTTTTAGCTTTCTTGTTTTCTTTATGACTCTCCACCATCATCCACACTCTCCCCCATCCCCTGCATACAGGTCAAATGTCCCAGCTCAGAGTGTCACCTGTTTTTGTATTTGCGAGGAGGGGATTGACGTGGGTTTGCTTGTTTCAATAAACAACAGTTGGCCACCCTCCAAGAGACTAACCCCAGTCCTCACCAGCCTGCCTCTCCTCCTGACGTTGTTGGTTCAAACCCTTGGAATCATTGTCCCCATGTCCCTTGTGCTGTACTCACAGACAATCCCATTTTCTGTGGCCTGAAGGAGCGTTTATGGGTGTCTTCCTCCCTGTATGCCTGTCCCCTCTAATCCAACCTGCATCAGCTCTAAAGCCAATTAAACACTGCTTCCACCTCAACATGAGCTTCCCTGCCTGGAAAATGAAGGAAGATGCGTGCTTTTCTCATGCGTGGCCTCCCTACTCCCTTCACTCTCCACTCCAGGCATCCTTACCTGTTCAATTGTTCTCCACTGTGGCCGCTGCCCCTTCATGCCACCTCCAATTCTTCATCAGCAGAAGCTACACTCATCCACTGGGGTTGACCTCAAATGTAGCCCCTTCCATGAAGCCCTTCCTGATCCTCCCCCCATAGGAACGCTGCTTCCGTTGGATGCCTGTGGGATTTTATCCTCATTTATCTGGTGGTCCTGATCATGCATTCTGACTACCGGTTGGTGTGTGTGTGTGTGTGTGTGTGTGTGTGTGTGTGTGCGCGCGCGCGCGCGTTCACTTCTCTCATCCTTCCCTCTGGTCAAGGAGGTCCTCAAAGAACCCTGACCTCCTCTTTTCTTTGCCCCCTCCCTGTGCCTGGAATGTAATCACTGATTTTGAAACAAAGGGGATGGAGATGAGATGAAGTAAAAAAATAAAAGCTTGATGTATATTCTTGAACCAAGCGACACCAGAACAAAACCAGTGTTAAATTAAATAGAGTGATTATTCCTTAGAGAAAGTACAAGATTAAAAGGGTACTCTTTAATTCCAGTGGTCTGATGTTTCTGGAAACTTCTGCCTGTTAACTTTTCTTCAAGGCTCTGTAATCCATTTCCAGAAATAGCTCCCTCTGCAGGCAGTCACGTAAGTTACCAAGTGACTGATTCTCGGAACCTCTCCTTGCTACCTTAGATTCCTAACTGGGAAGAGAGGGGAAGGAATGCGCTCAGAGAAGGCAGCGTGAGAACGAGGCTGAGGGAACAACCAGCCAAGCTCAGGACTGAACGCTGGCTAACCATTAGCTCGTAGGTACTAGGGAAGTTCCTCCACAAATATTTGAGAATACAAACTCCAATTATTGGGGGAATGGGGGTGGGGCACCAAATAAGTAGGGCAGGTCACTAAACCCCAAACCTCTCTTGTCAGATATGGGTGAACATTTGTCACTGTGCCTCACTATCTTGGGATCATATGATCTACTTTGCCTCACAGTAGTCCCTCTCAGTGACCCCCCCTGATGGGAGAACTGGGGTTACCAGAAGCCCAGAATCCTCAGGATGATTGACAGACACACGCAATCTTAGCTACAGTTCTTGTGGCATGCAGCTCGATGTATAAGCCTGGGGAGCCATCCTATCACTCTTCCGTGGCCAGAAAGGGACTTGGTGGCTCTCATGAGCGTAACACACACTAGACTCGCACCCAAGGCAGTGAAAAGACATATTTCTAACACGTGACAAACTACAAAGTTACTCTGAGCTCATCACTTCACCTGTTGTGCCTGGATTTCACCATCTGTAAAATGAAGAATATCATTCAAGTGACCCGATTTCACGTCCTTTCATGGGGGAGTAGATGGGAGGTGGACTTGGTGAGCTCTGTTCTCATAGCTGGAAGGAGAAACTCCAGGTTTTCACCAGGGAGGGGTATTGAAGAGAGGGAGGCGGGTCCAGGAAAGAAACGGACTCTCTCCTCCCTCTTCTAAATGGCCCTGTCTCCCTTTGCTCTCTGCCCTCTGTATCCTCACAGCCTTTGTTTCTTCTGCTATAAATTTTGCTGTAAAAATGTCTGCCTCTTTCGCTGAACTGTGCCCTCATTATGGACACAAAAGATACCTTATTCACCGCTATGCCTCTGGAACCCAGCGCTGTGTTGGGTGTGTTCAGCAAATACTGGGAAGCCCAATCCGGAAAAGCAGAGAGGGTAAAATTAAGCAGAAAACATCCTTGAAAAGTAGAAAAATGGTAGGTATGTTCTTGTGTAGAAAAGAGAAAGAAGAGGAGAAAGGGGGATAATGGGAGAGGCACTCTAAAAATGAATGAAATCTTTAAAATTATGTCCTATGGGGTTTATAACATATGTAGAAATAAACTATATGACAATCATAGCTGAAAGGGATGGAGAGGCCAAATGAAGTTAAAATAAAGAAAGGCTTTGCACTGTTCAGAAAGTGGTGGGAATATTCATTTGAGTTATATTATAATAAGCCAAGTATGCATATTAGAATTGCTAAGATCATCACTAAAAGAAAAAGAGGAGATAAAATGAAATAATAAATACTTGCTTAATCCAAAAGAATGCAGGAAAGGAGAAATAAAGGACATGTGAGGCAAATAGAAACAAAACGTGAGATGGTAGGCTCAATTCTAACTATATCAGTAATCACAATAAATATAATTGGATTAATTTCTCCAATTAACACACCAATAATGTAAGACTTGTTAAAAATTTTTAAAAGGCCATATGCTGTTTAGAATAGAGGCAGGTTATATAAAGACACTAAGAAATTAAAAGGATAAAAAGACAGGAAAAGTTATACCATACAAACAGTGATTAAAAAAGCTAGGATGGCTTTATTAACATCAGGAAATGTAGACATCATGGCAAGACTATCAGAACGACGCAGATGGACATTTAATAAGGATAAAGGGGTCAATTCAACAGAAATGCATAACAGTCCTTAACAATTACTGTGTTGTCTTTTGAGGAAAAGGGCTAGAGACCACTAGCGGGATTCTGACTGTTGTTTCCGCTGCAGGTTTTCTACAATCCCTGCTGCCCCCTTGGCCAAAACAGATACCTGGCCAAAAGATGTGGGCATCCTTGCCCTGGAGATCTATTTCCCAGCCCAATATGTTGACCAAACGGATCTGGAGAAGTATAACAATGTGGGAACAGGGAAGTACACAGTGGGCTTGGGTCAAACCCGTATGGGCTTCTGCTCAGTCCAGGAGGACATCAATTCGCTGTGTCTGACGGTGGTGCAGCGGCTGATGGAGCGCACGAAGCTCCCTTGGGACGCTGTGGGCCGGCTAGAAGTGGGCACTGAGACCATCATCGACAAGTCCAAGGCCGTCAAAACAGTGCTCATGGAGCTCTTCCAGGACTCAGGCAACACGGACATCGAGGGCATAGACACCACCAATGCCTGCTACGGGGGCACTGCCTCCCTCTTCAATGCTGCCAACTGGCTGGAGTCCAGCTCCTGGGATGGTAAGTTCTGCCAGAGGTTACATAAGAAAGGAGTTGCGGCTGGAAACTGAATCCCCAGTGTTGCTTCTCTGTTCCCCAGGGAGGGCGGGACAACTTATTCACACAGCTGCTGTTATCAACCCACAACCACAATGATGATACGTGCTGAGACTTGTATAGCTTTATGCAGTTAATTAGATAGCATGTTCACATAGCCATTCATTTAGTCCTTACCACAGCCTAGAAAGTGGGTGGTATCCCTGATTTACAGATGAGAAAATGGAAGATCTGATATCTTACTTACACTGCGTAGCAGGGACAATACACCAAACCCAATTCAATATATTTTGCATTTCACTGTACCTGTTTCTCTAAAGCTTCTCCTAAAACTGAGAGAGAGAGAGAGAGAGAGAGAGAG